ATGATTCTCAACAATTTCCTCATCCAACTCAACAATCGCTTTCGATCTAAGGATTCTACCTGGTAAATGATTTGGATTTCCTTCAGTTTCGTCATCTGATAAATCTGAATCTTCGTCAGTATCAGCTTCAGCAGATTCTATAGGAGGAACTATTCCTACAGACCTGATTCTTCTAAAAAAAACTTGATCCGTAATTTTCTTCACAAGCCTTCATAATTTCATCTACGCTAAACGTATTATCTTCAGACCTAAAAGAAAAAAATAAGTCATTCTAGTGCTCGGTGGCAACTAAAGTTGCCACGTGAATTTAGGGTACCATAATTATGTGTTAATTCAACGAATAAATAATTTTCTTAGATCAGTATATATAATAAACCTTTGGTTTAAAATGAATTCAGTATGAACACAAAATATTATAAATTAACTAAAAAATACTTACATTGTTTAGGACTAAGTTTAGTTGCTGCAAAACTCTAATATTGAAATAAATACTAACGAGCACCTAACAAGTTAACAAGCAAATTTGTAGGTTATATATACATGTGGACACGCTTAAAATTATATACCACTTAAAAATAGGCCACATACAATACACAAGAGATTTTACGGGTGTTGAAAGTCATTGGCAACTAAAGTTGCCACTGAGCGCTAATGGGTTAAAGTTCACTGCTGTAGGACAAAAATCATGTGGAAAACGTTAGAATAAAACGATAGGATAAAAACTAGCAAAATGATGATTACAAGAAGATGCTCATAAAGTATAACTTTCTAGGTTTAATACTTTTACTATTATAAGTAACTTACTACAGATGTTTCAAAGTATTTATTATTATTGCATGTTTGACTTAATTTTGGTGGGCAAATATAGGACTATCTTATAATGAGATTCTATATATTAGCAAGTTCAATTAATTCCGTTGGTTTACAAATAATTTTGATGTTTCTTCCACCACTACTGAACAATTTTCTTTTGTTTTAGATCGTTCTTTCAGTTATACCTTCTCCTAAAATGTCATTTCGTTAGGTAAGATAAGTATATACATAGTGTATTAGTCTACCAGTGTTTTTAGTACCGTTTGTCCTAAAAAATATATCCATTTTCAAGAGAAGTATCAAGGGCTAAAAAATAACTATTGGAATAACACAAAAAGGGCACAAAGTACCAAAACCTTAAAATACAAATTGTCCACATACCAATTCAAACACACATCTTGCAAGCAATTAATTCTGAACAAATAATCTTCGTAAAATATTTTTCATTTGTGGACGTTACTTTCCAAATGTTTAAATATTTACAAAAATATAAAAATATCTCCACTTAGATGTTTTTTTTTCAAGTTTATTAGCAACTGGAAGAGATAAAGTGACAATAATAAACAATTTCTAAAATATGATATGCCGGTACTTTTTGTAACTTTTTTTTAAGGAAATAAATTTATAACAATTAGTATAGTCGTCAAGGTTGCAACACCAATATTTTAATATCTCCATAGGAGGAAATCTCATATTTTTTTAAGCCCTTTTCTCTCTTCGGATTGTCGAATATAGGCTTCTCCTAATTCTCGCCATTCATTTCTGTTAATGCAGTTCTTTTAATGCCGTCGCTCCATCACATTTTCGGTCTTCCTCGTGGTCTTTTGGCTTCATATGGTCGCCAATTCCCGATTCCTTTATTCCATCGGTTATCCGTAAAACGTTCGTTATATGTCCAGCCCATTTCCATCTCAGTTTAGCTGCGTGTTCGACAGCATTGTTCTATCACGAATGTCTTCATTGGTTTTATGGTCTTTGAGTGAGATACCCAGCACCTGTCGTTCCATAGCTCTCTGAGTTTATCTGATCTTCTCCATGTTTATTTTAGTGAATTATGAATCTATATATATATACAGAGTGGCCCAAAAGTCTGGAAACGGCTAATTATCTCGTAAAATGCTAATCATAATTGTTCAAAATTTGAAGTACACCTATTTTGGAATACGGAGATTCCATATTTGATATTTACAATGTTGCCAGATTTGCCGTTTTTCTTATATTATTAGTAACTTTGGTTTTTCAAATACATCACCCTGTATATTCAGTCATTATTGGAATCTCCTATTCAATACGAGTTCAATCATATGTAACACTTATGATTTTATGACTAACTATTTTCAAATACGTTAAAACGTAACAATTGATAGTTTAGAACATTTTTTAACATAGTAGTTACGTTATTAAGTGTTCAAAATGTGCTCAATTTGTGAGTTGACAGCACCCTAATCGATGGTAGAAGGCGTCTACCACATTTCTCCATGATTGTCTAGAAATTATTCGAGATTCATTGATAATTCGATGCCTTAGCTCTTCAAGACTTGCTGGTTAAGTTTTATAAACTGAATTTTTCAAGTATCCCTAATAAAAATAATCTTTAGGATTGAAATCGGGTGAACGTGGAGGCCATTCAATTCTACCTTGTCTTGGTAGAGTAGGTAGATTTACACCAACTATCTGACGTTAAATTTCTTTCGACAAAAAAATGACCCAATTGAATAAGTAACTACTATATCTGACCATACATTTAATTTTTGTGGTCTTTGAGTATGGTTTTCACGCATTCAGTCTTCAGTGTGAATTTACGTCACACCAGTACCTTAAATTGTGTCAATTTACACTTCCACACAGTGTAAAAGTTGCTTCATCGGAAAAACATATTCTGTTAACGAAATTTTAATAATTTTCAATTTTATCCATCATTACCTCAGTAAACTCTAATCTACGACCAAAGTCATCTTCACTTAATTCTTGCAATAAGTTAATTTTGTACGATTTAAATTTATTTTTACGTAATAAACGTAAGACTGAAGAATGACCTACATCATGTACTTGTGCAACCCTGCCTGGGGATGTATGTGGATCTTCAACAAAACTTTGCTTATATCTGAAGTTTTGTTGTCATTGATAACTCGTTTCGGTCAACCTGATCAGTATCTATCTTTTACTTCTCCAGATTCCTCAAATCGCCTTACAGTTTTTTGTACCGTCGTCTTATGAATAGGAGAACGGTTTAGAGAACGGCATTTTAGAGAAGCAATTTAAATTGCAGAACTTTTTGAACCACAACTACTGTCAATTTTAGTTCATAATTTAAATGGCGAACAAATGTCAAAATCACAGCATTCTCCATTTAAATATTTAAATTTATTAAAATCTACATATTTTGCACTGTTTTATGTATTTAAGATCTTTCAGACTACATAAAATCAAGTGAACATATGGTTGAACCCGTATTGAATAGCTGAACTCGTCTGAAATTCACACTGAATGCGTGAAAACCACATTCAAAGACCACAAAAATTAAATGTATGGTCAGTTATAGTAGGTACTTATTTAATTGGACCATTTTTTATCGAAAGAAATTTAACGTCAGATAGTTGGTGTAAATGTTCGGCGTTATTTAGATGAGATATTTCCCGGACGATAAATTGGTAGACAAGGTAGAATTGAATGGCCTCCACGTTCACCCGATCTCAATCCTAAATATTAGTTTTATTAGAGATACTTTAAAAATTCAGTTTACAAAACTTAACCAGCAAGTCTTGCATAGCTAAGGCAATGAGATATCGATGAATCTCGAATAATTTCTAGACAATCATGGAGAAATTTGGTAGACGCATTCTACCATCGATTAGAGTGCTGTCAACTCACAAATGGAGCACATTTTGAAAACTTAATAACGTAACTATTATGTTAAAAAATATTCTAAACTATCAACTGTTACGTTTTAATGTATTTGAAAATAGTTAGTCTTAAAAAAATGTATTGAAACAATTTAGGCGTTACCAGACTTCTGTTTTATGCATTTAAGACCTTCCAGACTACATAAAATCATGTTACATATGGTTGAACTCGTATTTAATAGGAGATTCCAATAATGACTGAATATACAGGGTGATGCACCTGAAAAACCAAAGTTACTAGTAATATAAGAGAAACTAAAAATCTGGCAACATTGCAAATACCAAATATGGAATCTCCGTATCCCAAAATAGGCGTATCTCAAATTTTGTATAATTATGTCTAGTAATTTATGAGATAATTAGCCGTTTCCAGACTTTTGGGCCACTCTGTATATATATATATATTGTGTGTATCTTTCTAACGGTCGCTGATAGATCAAATAGTAAAGTGTCTTACACAGAGGGCTCGGGTTAGATCCTAACGCCAGCGAAAAGATCTAAATTTTTAAAATATCTAAAGGCCCCAGATCGACTTAATAAAATGAGTACCTTGGGTAAAACCATTTGAGACTGTTAAAGTTTAGCACTGGCCTTGTTACCTTCCCTGTATATGGTAGTATATATATTAGAATGAAACATTTTTTTAAAACAGAAACATGGGAAAAACAATTAAGAAAAAAAGTCGAATCTTCGAGAAAACATCTCGACTTTTATTTCACAAGAGACTTTTTTCTTTTATTCATAATTGTACAAGTCAAGCTTCCTTTCCCACCCATCCTTTACTGCGATTTAAGGGAAAGTACTAACCACGATACATCATTGAAAAGCAAATTCTTTTAAAAATTCAGCCATTCGACTGTTCATTAAGTAGCTTTCTACTTTGGCGCTCTTAAGCACAAACAAAAATTCGATTAACAAGATTTTCCTAATTAAATTATATTTTAATAGTGACGAAAGAGCAAGGAAACGTATGACATTTGAGGATATGATAAGATGTCTCTCGTGGAATAAAACTCGACGTGCATATTTTTCACAGAAAATGTGCCTTCACGATATTCGATCTATTTCGTTTTTGGTACTGCATCCTACCTGCTGTACCTAAAAATGATTCTTTAAAAAAATAGAAAAAAAAACTTTGATTTATCATAAAAAATGATAAATCAAAGTTAACACGATAATTATTCGCAGGTTTTCTGATGACATGTTCATAATAAACTACACGTCTCTCCAAGTCTTTCAGTTGCTGAATAAATCTTGATTAATTTCACAAATGAGATAAAAACCCATACCGATATTCATTTATTTTTACAGTATATAATGAAAATTGTTTCGAGACAGTCATTCTAAATTACAAATTAGTCCATTTACAATATTTTCCTACTTAGCCTTCAATTTCTTCTTTTTCTTTTTATCGACCTTAGCTAGAATATCAGCGGCACTAGCCAGCCGCCTCAAATTTTTTCTAGCTTTAGTTTTGGCGAAATTGTGTACCCTAAAACCCCCTCCTTGTTTGCTGGTACCCGGCTCAGAAAAGGATTTGTTGGGAAGATGGTAGGGTGGAGCTGAGAAAACACGAGCTTTTCGGGTGTACAGTTGGGGATGTGTGGAGTTTTTCTCCCATGCTACAACGAGGCTGTCGTCGAATTTGTCGTTATTTTCATACTTCGCTATAACTGCTTTTCCTTCGCTGTTGTTAATGAAGCAAATTTCTCGCAGGTGCACTCCTTCCTCTTTGGCCTTATCTGATTGGACAGGTGTCGGGATTTGGGTGCTAGTTTCGAGTTTACCCTTAGAACGATTACTTGCCTCTATTCCGGCTGGTTTCTTGATTCCTTTATTGATGGGTTTTACTTTTTCTGTGGAATTTTTTGACTTTAAAGTTAGCTCTTTCCTAGTTTTTGCTTTGAAGGGTTGTTTGTTGACTTTTATCCCCGACTTTGAGGAACCGGGTTGGGCGAGATTTTCTTTTCTATCGAGAGGTATGGGTGCACTTCTCGACTTCGGTTTTTTCGGGATTGGTTTAGGAATTGAAGTTCTATTCTTGAAGATGGTACGTGTCGATTTAGCCTGAAGCAAGAAAACTCTTACCAACGTATATTTTAGTTAAAATCAAGCAACTAGGGTGTAGCGCAAATAATTATCTTCAAACGATTGTGGGATGAGAGGGTTATAGCCTGTTACGTTCGAGTTTTCTACAAGATGAACAATTTTAATTTAAATCTAAAAACTAACACGAAAGCATTGTTTTACTTATGCTTCCTACCAGAAACATAAATAAAGTATGTGTTTAAATTCTGAAATAATACATTCCGTCTTTATAAATTTAGAAGTGTGCCTTGCAAAGTGATCCAAATAAATATTACTCTTTCAAGATTTTTTTAAGAAGGGCAGTTTAAACTGCCGCACTTCCATTATATTTCACTGTGTATGCGTAAATAGATACGCATGGTGATAAAAGAATTATTTGTGGGTGTAAGATGAAATATGATGTAGAATAGGATCAAATGAAGAAATACGCTTAGTAATAAGAGCATACAAACATTAGCGGATTAATAGAAAGTCAGAGACACATCATCTACAATTATACATAATACATAAATACAAACACAATAGATAAACATATAACACATAAACAAGTAATACATAAAGACATAATACATAAATACATAATACTTAAACATAGAAAACAAGCAGAATTTCATATCATATCTCAGAATTTTCGACTAGAAGCATGGCTATTTGCCTACTAGATCGAGACCGAGTACGTCAACCGTCAATTTAGCACACAATAACTGCTAAACAACAATTTGTTATAATAACAGCACTATTTTAACGTAGTAAATCAAATTCACATTTTTACATACATTTATAATTAGGAGAACATATTGATTATAGGTTGCCAGTCAAAAACATGCCGCAAATATTTTTAATTTAACGAAAAGACAGTTAAGATTTGATTTCACGTATAGTGCGTCTGTATATTCGCTTATGTGTATTTCACCCTAAAAGTGATCTTCAGAGCGGAAATTCACAGATGCTCTGAACGTGAAAATAAATCTTTCCTGTCGTACTAGAAGCAACACTAACATGCCTTCGTATGGACGCAAATAGCGACATCTGATAATAAATCCGTAAACTAATTTTTCGAAACCAAATTCAGATTTCTGTTTTAATCTGTGCCTTCTAAGAATTGCAAGGCAAAACAGACAAAGATGTTATCAGAGACATTGGAAATCTAAAATTTCATTCCACAACATGTCTCGTCAACTAAGCAAAAATCCTTAGCGAATTGGTTTCTAGTACTCATAAAAAGTATATCAAATAAAAGGAAAAGACAGTTAAGATTTGATTTCACGTATAGTGCATCTGTATATCCGCTTATACGTATTTCACTCTAAAAGGGATCTTCAGAACGACTATTCACAGACGCTCTGAACGGGAAAATAAATCTGTTTTTTCCTTTTATTTGATATACTTTTTATGAGTACTAGAAATCAATTCGCTAAGAATTTTTGTTTAGTTGAGAAGATATGTTGTGAAATGCAATTTTAGATTCCCCATGTCTCTAATAACATCTTTATCAACGTCTGTTTTGCCTTGCAATTCTTAGAAGGCACAGATTAAAGCAGAAATCTGAATTTGGTTTCAAAAAATTAGTTTACGGATTTTTAATTTAGTTAATAGTAATTCATTTCTGAGCAAAAATTTTATTTTGTTCATTTATTGTTTAAATAAAATACGCTGTTCATAACGTACCTGCATGTTTTTATATCAAGTTAGGGTTACCAGCTGTTAAAAACGCAGGGTATCAAAGGTAAAGTAAAAGACAGCTAGCGCGCAACGCTACTGGTTTGAAGTGTCAGTTGTGCGAGTTTTTAAATCATGCGTCGATAGATATATTAATATACATATTATCACTTGTCAAACCAGTGTCGTTGCGCGCTAACTTTATTTTACTTTATCTTTGAGATCTCGCGTTTTTAACAGCTGGCAAACCTAAATTGCAACCATTTTTTCTCAGACAATCTTGTATCATATTAAAAAAAATCTTGGATGGCAGTGACCAAAGACTAATTGCTATATTATAAACAGAACCAACTGACTGGCTTGAATGGGTTTTTTAAACATAGAGAAACACACTAATATACATGTACACAATCAGAGAGAGATCACAGAAGTAATACAGACTTCATAATAGGTAGAAAAAAAGCTCGTATTCAATTTCAAGACGTAAGAGTACATAGATGCTGATCATGCGAAAGTGACCATTATTTTCTGAGAGTGAAAATGACGCCAATAACTGGGGAATAACGGAAAACAAAAGTAGTAACTGGCAAATAAGACAGCACAAAAGAACCTAAGAGAAAATATGTACAATATAAAATGCATAGAACAATAAATAATAAGGAAATTATATCAAAACAGGGTAGATGATAAATTAAATTGAACAAAATTTGGGAGTATAGAAATACAATACAAATACATCAAAAACTTCATACATACAGTAACAGAAGAAGCCGTAGGTTAAATGGAAAACAAAAAATAATAATAAGTCTTATTGGTGGGACGCAGAAATTGAAAAGGAAATAGAACAATAAAGCAAACAACACCATAAATACCTAAGCACGCAAATGGTGTCCAACACAATAAAATTTAAAGAAGCCCAAACTGAGTCAGAAAACTAAAAAAAATTATAAATGGAAGAAAACATGTTCCAGAATAAATACATGTCTCTTAGATAGTACAGAAATTTGGAAAGTATTAAAAAACATGAGAAAAGAGAATACCAAAGACATAATATCAGCAATAACGGCCCAAACATAGAAAAACTAACTTGCAATGCCGTTAATGAAAAAGGAGAATAATTTAAAACCCGTGAAACCATGTGAAGACTCAGACTAAATCTCAAAGAAGTAAATACAGTTTGTAAATCACTAAAGAACAAGGAAGCGTCAGGTCCAGGAAATATAATAGGAAAACTAATAAAAACGAAACCGATAAGCTATATACTCTATTGAAAGATCTGTTTTAGAATTTTATAAGTAAATCGGAAGACTCAGAAGAATGAAAAATATCCTATATATCGTCAACACCTACTAGATATACTTAGGAACATGGATAACATCCAGTAGTGGTAGACCAAACCAAAGAAATGAAGACACATCTTGAAATAGCACATGCATTATTCATTACACTTCAAAAAGTTTCTTTGTTGTCAGTATGTAAAGATAAGTAAATCTAAATAAAATGGCCGCCTTTGAATTTTGGTGTTACAAAGAATCCTACGAATATCATGGACTCAAAGAATGCCAAATGCAGAAGTAATTAGAAGAATAGTTAGAAATATGTAGACACAATATTACTGGACCATTTCTCTATGAGAAAAATTTAAATTCAAAAACGTTTTTGGTCTTGCTACAAGAAGATACTTTACTGAGACTTGCAGAAGTAACTTCATTTTATTGATTTTTAAACAATAAATAATAAAAAAGATATTATTAATCTCTAACTTCATTGTGACCGAACGCAACCCGTTATACACATTCTGCACTACGTGTGGCCTAACTTTTACAACAGGCAAATGCATTATAATTATTTTTGGTAAATGTATTATATTTTTGCAAAATTTTGGAATGTATCTAATTCGTAGAACAATTTTACCATTTGTTTTCAATACATATTTCAGTCCTCTACAAATAGTATCTGATGACTCTTGATGTAAAATAATTAGGGAAGCAGGCGTTCAACAGTTTAGAAGTTTCCATTGAGTTTTCTATGGCGCGGTTGATTATTCACCACCCAGTATACACTGTTATTTGAACACGATCAATTTTTTTTAGCACAGGATATGGACGATATATAATATATGACAAGTAAGATAGTAACGGAATATAAAATTTGGGGACTAAAGTCCTCGTATGTAAAACAAAAATAACGTAGGTAAATATAACAAGGGCCAGGTGATACAGACAATAAGAACAATAATATATACATGACGACGAATAATTCTGAACACAAATTGATTTCTGTTTGGAATACTTGGTGCGCACTTCGCATAAATAAATAGTAGTTTTCTTGACTGGTTGTTATATTGTATTAGCTAATGATGTATTGTAAATTACACCCATTTTTTTACTTTCAAAGTTAGTTTCTCTTTCTTAGTTCCAGATATACTATCAAATTGGATGTATACTTTCAAACTATTGATGGAGTATTTTATCTAATATTTACTTAATTTATAATGTTCATCTTGTAGAAAAATACATCAAATTAAAATTTCTTTGTAATAATGAATAAGTTATAGCTATCACAAAATATATGTAATAGATGACTTACCTTTCTATTGCATTTTTAAAATAACAATTAAAGAAATTCTAGGGTGTTTGGTGAACTCAAATTAAAATAACTACGTCTATTTCCTTTACAATGGAATACGGAATATTTTAGACATTTTTAGTAAGTTAATACCGATTAAATCCAGCAAATTACCACAATTATTTAATATTGTTCTTCTTCTTTCGATATTATTGTTTTTCAATTTTTCAAAGGAAGTCTAAGTGTGCGTTCATAATAAGGTGCGACCCTCGCTCTGACCATGGGATATTATATTATCGATTTTAGGTAAAATAAATGCATTATTTTAAATGCGAGCGTTCACCGTCAGTGCTATGCTCTAGGCGAGGATACGATGCGATGGTCTGCGTAATTAACGCACTCTTAACAGTTTTGAATCTTAGTACACAGGTTCTCTTGGTCCACTCTCTATGACATTTGAATACAAAGATCTTTTTCTTCGCATACTTGTACCCCTTTTTTTCTTGAAGGAAAAGTCCTACAGTGGTGGAACTTGGTATATTCAATAAGTAAGGACTAGAACTTTACACTTCTGTCCACTACCGTAAGTGTAAAATACCATTATTTTATTTTATTGTGCAAGAAACAATAAATAATTATGATGAAATACAAAATATTATTACGGTTATAATTTATAAATAGTTGAAATGCTGTCACAGAACTTCTTCTTCTTCCTTCTTTATTCTAGGCCTAGGTTTAAACTTCATCCACCT